AAAAAAAAAAAAAAAAAACACCATCACCACCACCAACAAGCCAACCCCCCTCCCAATCAACCCAGAGCAAACACCCAAACCCCTCACTAAATCCCACACCCTCCCCCACACAACACGCAACACGAAAGGCCCTAAACTCTACCACATATGTGCGGCCGTTGCGGAAACAGAGTAAAACGCGTTAGCACTGCAAAGGTTGTCTGCGTACCTCATATATTCATGCGTAAGCTTGCACGCACAACAAGATGTAATAGTAACATTGTATCTTATTCTGCGCTGCTGGGCACCAGCACGCCTCCGCCCAGCCACTCACGCGCATAATCTTTCGACATTGATCGTCATCATCACCACCGCCCTATATTTGTATCAGCATATAAATCAGCAATGAACAATTCCATAACCAAACTCACTCATCCATCGCTCCGTGGTCCTGTGCCCATCACCGATTAGCTGTGGTAAATGTCCGTTGGGCGCGTGTGCATAGGCGCACATTGCTGATAACAACTCGTGCCTACTGCAGTGAGAAGGAAAAGGAAGGATTTTGTACTGCACATATACCTACGTCCCGCCTGTAAAGAACACCATCAAGCACCAGCATTACACACACACCCCTCTCACCAGCACAAAAGCACCTCCAAACCACATTGAAAACGGAAAAAACCATGGTATCATCAACTACCACCCCCAATCTCATAACTCATAACCGGGCATCAGCCCATCCTTCATTCATCCATCAATGCACCTACGCCATGGTTTACCAACCAGGCTGGTGCTGGCCCCCAGAGTGGCCACCAGGTCCCCCCATACCACCACCGCCATGGTGCTGGCCACCAGGGCCATCAAACCCGCCCGGCCCGCCTTGGTGCTGAGCTCCGCCGCCGAAGCCGCCAGGCCCACCACCCATGCCTCCGCCGCTCATGCCGCCGAAGCCACCGGGACCACCGGGACCACCGCCCATGCCGCCAGCGTGGTGCTGGGCGCCGCCGCTGCCGTAACCCTCGCCGCCAAAGCCGCCGGGTCCGCCAGCGCCGCCGGGTCCGCCGTGGTGCTGTCCGCCGCTGCCGTATCCGCCGCTGCTGCCGTAGCCCTCGCCCCCGAAGCCGCCGGGCTGGTGGTGGCTCCCGCTGCTGGCGCCATAACCGCTGTCACCGCCGGGACCGCCGCTGCCGTACCCGCCGCCGGGCTGATGGTGTCCGCCGGAGCTGCCGAACTCGCCGCCGCTGCTGTGCGTGGGGCCGCTGCCGCCATAGCCGCCGATGCCGCCGCTGCTGTGCTCGCCGTAGCCGCTGTGCCCGCCTTGTCCGCCGTGCTGCGGGCCGGAGCCGAAGCCGCCGGGACCGCCGCTGGTGCCACCGTAGCTGCTCTGGTGGGGAGCACCGCTCACGCCGCCGATGCCGTGGCTGCCGCTGCCGTACTCGCTGCTGCCGCCGTAGCTACTTTGGTGGGGAGCGCCGCTGCCGCCGCTCACGCCGCCTACGCCGTGGCTACCGCTGCCGTACTCGCTGCTACCGTAGCCGCCGGCACCTGGGGCGCTGCCCTGGTGGTGCGTGGGCCCGCTGCCGGCGCCGTGAGTGCTTGCGCCATAGCCGCCGGTGCTCTGATGCGTCGGACCGGTACCGTACTCATCGTTGCCGTAGCCGCCGCCCTGGTGGTGTGTGGGGGCGCCGTGGGTGCTTGAGCCGTGGGCCCCCGTGCTCTGGTGCGTAGGGCCGGTGCCGTACTCGCTGTTGCCGTAGCCGGTGCCGGAGCCCTGGTGCGTGGCGCCACCGTGTTGAGGTTGCTGGTGCTGCTCCTGCGACGTGTTCTTGTTCTTGTGCAGCAGCTTGTCTTCGATCTTGTGCTCGATCTTCTCGAGCATGGATTCCTTCTTATGAGGCTGCTGCTTGTTGTCGTTGAAGACGAGGCCGCGGTCGCTTTCGGACATGGTTGCGATGTGTGGTGTAGTTGAAGTAGTTAGATTAGGGTAAAAGTCAGGTGTTTCGTGTGTGTTTGTAGATTGTTGGATTGGTGCGGACAGCAGGTGGTTGTAGGTGACTTAAAAGAGACAGAGTATTGCGGGGTTGGGATGAAGCTCCAATGATCTCGTCGCATCGTCACCGGCCCACAGGCTCGCCGCTTCCCAGTTCAGCTCGGCAGCCATGACGTCGACGCGCGGCCGGTCGCGGTACCGTCGTACGCGTACGACGCCTTTACTTCCTTTGCGGTTTGGCTTCCGTGGGAGCGCCAAGCCGGAATGGACGGCCGCCACGCTCGTCGGAACCTGTGCCTGGTTTCTTGCTCGCCTGGCCGGGATGCTGTGACATGAAGAGAATCCGGCTGTTGGCGTGATGAGGTGTGACCTGCCGAGAGGAGAGTTGGAAGTAGGAAGGTGTGGCTGCGCGCCCGACGTCACGAAGCTGGCACGTGACGAGTCGGTTGTGGCTGGACTTTTTTTCTCGCACGACCCTCATTCCTCTCGCTGCTCACGGCTCTTGTACCTGTAGGAGAGTGGAAGTCGTTGCTCTTGTAGAATCAATGGATTTCAGAATTGAGATGATGAAGTATCCTGCCCAAACAATGTCTTGTTGCTTGTTCTTTGGTTTTCCTCTGCGACTGCGTGTCTTTGTTTCTGCTTTCTTGGCCGACCACGCCGCAAACACAAACACAGCAGTGCACAACCCCGCCTTTCCCCTCTCTCCTCCACATTCTGATATGGTTTGATCTTTCTTAACCATGGAGGCCACCGGAATCGACCCGACTGCAGATGGTACGCCTCAAGCTGGCTTCGAGGCCATCCGACTCCGCTCCTACCAGGCTGAAATGGTAGAGGAGAGCCTGAAGCGGAACATAATCGTTGCCGTATGTGTCGGCGCTCTAGCTCAGGGAGTTGCAACTAATTCCCATTCAGATGGACACCGGCAGCGGCAAGACCCACGTGTAGGCTAGCTATTTTTCGGGTTTCAGCAGCCACTACTCCATTACTGACTGTCGCGCAGCGCCCTATCCCGGACTGCGGCCGAGCTCGAGGCTTGCGAGCCGCACAAAGTCTGTTCCTTCTCTTTTTCTCGATGAAACATCCTTCTCTTACATCGCACCACAGATTGTCTGGTTTATTGCACCCACAGTCACTCTTTGTCAACAGCAGGCCTGTCTTTTCGAAAAATATCTGCCTGCCTATCCGCTGCGCTTCCTCAGCGGCGCAGACAATGTTGAAAGATGGTCGGAACAGAAAGTCTGGGACGCTGTTCTGAAAGACATCCGCATTGTTCTCTCAACGCCACAGGTTCTCCTGGACGCTTTGACGCATGCCTTTGTGCACATTACGAGATTCGCCCTTTTGATCTTCGATGAAGGTATTTTGACTTGACATATATGTGATTTAACCGGCGCTGATGGTTACCAGCGCATAACTGCCGTGGAAACCACCCGGCGAATGCCATCATGGCCAGGTTTTACTTGCCTCTGCTCCAGGATAGATCCGATGTAAAGCTTCCCGGAATTCTGGGCTTGACCGCAAGCCCTGTGCTGAACGCTAAAGCAAATGGACTAGAGTCAGTGTGATGAAAATAGTTTGCTAGCAAGATACTCACAGAGAGCAGAATCATCGAGCAAAGCTTGAACGCCATAACCAAGACACCCAAGCTGCATCGTATGGAACTGTTGCAGTTCACGCACAGACCCGAGCTCGTTCCTCTTCCGTACAAATACGAGCCAACTGAAGGTCCACTAATCTACAGCACTTTGGGATCTGCTTACTACGGACTGGACATTGCGGAAGATCCCTACGTCCTTAGTTTGAGAAAGAGAATTGATGAGAGCAACGATGCCGAGGCTCTCAAAGAACTGAAAAGGGTGTCGCTCAGTTATAAGACTTATGTCCACGAGCAAGTTCGAAAGCTGTACTCTCGGGCGTCCGAAGTTCTTAACGAACTTGGTGGCTCCGCCACGGAATTCTACATCCGAAGCTGCATAGTACGCGCTGATTATTATTTGAGTCGTTCTGGCTCAGTGCCTAGTTGGTCACAGGCCGAGGCAAAGTACCTGCGAGAGTTCCTGTCGGGCATAGCAGCCGTGCCTTCTATCAGCTCGGGAGGCCCGCCGTACGAGCACTTGTCCTCAAAAGTGGAAACGCTGATTGACTTCCTGGTTGCCGAGGCGCGTCCCGACTTCAACGGCATCATTTTTGTCGAGCAACGCGCCACTGTGGCTGTCATGGGCAACCTGTTGTCAAAGCATCCTAAGACAAAAGAACACTTTAACATTGGAACCTTTGTTGGCACGTCCATTACCAGCTCCAGAAAGCTGCACATAGGAATCGGTGACTTGGTCGAGTTGAAGCATCAACAGCAGACCCTTGACGACTTCAGAGCTGGAAAGAAGAATCTCATTGTCGCAACAAACGTTCTTGAGGAGGGTATTGACGTGTCGAATTGCCACATAGTGATATGCTTCGAGGAGCCGAAGAACCTCAAGTCGTTCATCCAGCGTCGAGGTCGTGCAAGGAAACAAGACTCCAAATTTGTCATTATGCTCGCAGGAGATTCCTCTTTGGCGAGTTCTCCAGAGAGATGGTTGGACCTGGAAGAGCAGATGAAGGAGGCGTATCTCAACGATCTCCGCAAAGTAAAGGCGGCCGAGGAGCGGGAAATGGTGGAGGAGGAGAGTGACCTGGAGATGTGTGTGGAGAGGACTGGGTAGGTCTCCGCCAAGACTTTGATTGGCCTTCCACTAACCCAAACATAGCGCCTTGTTAACACTGGACAATGCCGTCCAACATCTTTATCATTTCTGCGCTATTCTTGGCAGCGAACAGCACGTCGATCTGCGTCCGAGATATTCTTTCGACGAAAGCCCCGACGGTTGCATTACTTCCACTGTCACACTCCCGAACTCTGTGATTGCGTCACTTCGGCAAATCAAGAGCGGACATGCCTGGAAGACTGAACGTCAGGCGAGAAAAGACGCGTCTTTCCAGGCGTACAAGTCACTTTACAAAGCCGGGCTTGTTAATGACAACTTACTTCCTTTGTTCAAAGACACCGAAAGTCCTGAGTTTGAACAAATCGAAAAACGACCTTCACTAACCACTGCAAACGAGAGGATGGATCCGTGGACAACAATCGCCAAAGCGCATCAGGCAAAGGAGCCTACCGCTCCATGGTACTGCATCAAACTCACTCTTTCATGTGAAGGCCAGAAGCTTGCGAACTTATTGTTCTTGCTGCCAGGCGAAGTGGCCGCAGCAAACGAAGTCGTTCTCCACTGGAATGAAACGACAAAGTACGTCGTGACGAGTGAACCCATCGGCAACATTGCATTCAGCGCAGTCCAAATTGACACGTTCCGAATGGCAACTCGCACATTGCTCAGTACAGTCTATGGCACGCGCATGCCCGAAGAAAGATACGATTTCCTGGCCATCTTTGCTCCGTACGACGGTGACCCTGCCAACCCAACCTCTATGCCACAAGCCTTCTCCAAGCAGATGCGAGAAGCAAGAGACGTATACAAAGAGCTACAGCAAGGCCGTGCGCCGCCATTAGGCCTCGTTCGCGAACGATTCAATAAATCTCAAAATTACATCTTCCAAGAGTTTCACACTTCTGAAGATGGCGAACTTTGGGTCCTAGGCACAGACTTCCCTAAGCGCCGCGATTTCCTACATCCCATCCCCAACGACGTCAGCCACAAAGTGAGAGAAATGTACACGAAATTGCGCGCCATAAACGCGGATGACTGCGAGATCAGCAGCTTGCCGGCGATATACTCCATATTCGCGGCGTTCATACCGGCGGTCTTGCACTGTTATGACGTGGTAATGGTGTCGCAGAAGCTCTGCAATACCCTGCTTGCGCCGGTGGGCTTCAAGTACACAAACTTCAAATACACAGGCGTGGTCGCGCGCGCCCTTACGGCCTCGTCTACCACCGACGACGACTACCAAAGGATGGAGTTCCTGGGCGACACCATGCTCAAATTCTGCACGGCCGTGCAGATAATGGCGCAAAAGCTCGAGTGGCCCGAGAGCTACCTCACCGACTGCAAAGACCGTATCGTCTCCAACGGCGCGCTGGCCAAGGCTGCGAAGAAGGTCGGTCTGGACTACTTCATCCGCCTCAAGCCCTTCACCGGCCTGAAATGGCGCCCGCGTTACCTGGGAGACGAACTCACCGCCCTGAATGACGCGCCCAAGCAGCGCACCATGTCGACCAAAGTGCTCGCTGATGTTGTCGAAGCCCTCATCGGGGCCGCTTACCTCGAAGGCGGCATTCCGCAGGCCGGACGCTGCATCGAGGCACTGCTGGGCCCGGCGAACGGCTCGCCCTGGCAGCCCATGCTCACATCGCGCAGCCTACTCCACTCCGCCGCGCGCGATGCCGCCGACGCTGCCAGTGCTGGCCCGGTCCACCTCGAGGTGTTGGAAGAGCTGATCGGGTACGAGTTCTCGAACAAGCAGCTCCTGCTCGAAGCGGTCACGCATCCGTCGTTTGTCTCGTACCGCGATCTAGCGACGAGTTCGTACCAGCGGCTGGAGTTCCTGGGCGACGCAATCCTGGACCACCTGGTTGTGCGGCGGGTGTTTGCGCACAATGACCCCGCGCCTCTGCCGCATCATCGCATGCACACGATCCGCGCGGGCCTGGTCAACGCCGCCATGCTGGCGTTCCTGTGCATGGAGCTGCGCACCTCGCCCGACACGTCAATCGACATGGACGGCGAAAGAGATGGCGTCGAGAGCCCGGACCTCGTTGCAGAGGACACGCCCTCCCCGCTTCCACCGCCGAAACCCCGCGCCCTGTACCACTTCATGCGGCACACGGCGCCGACGCTACCGGATGCTATGGCCCGTGCCGCGGCGCGCCACGAGGCGGTGCGCGCGCCGCTGTGGGCGGCGTTGCGGACAAGGAAACGCTACCCCTGGACGATGCTGGCGCGCTGCGCGGCAGACAAGTTCTTCTCTGACATCGTGGAGGCGGTGCTCGGCGCGATATTCCTTGACAGCTGCGGCAGCGCTGCCGCTACCACCATCACGACCAACAACCGCTTCCTCGGCGCCGGCAATGGTAGCGATGGTGATAACGACAGTGATGGCGTTGACGGAACTAGTGCCTTCGGGAATAAAGACGCAGACGGCCTGGCCGCGTGCGACACGTTCCTAGAAAAACTGGGCGTGCTGGGCCTGCTTGAGCGGTTCTTGCGCGACGGCGTCGACTGCGCTCACTCCAAGTCGCGGCTGGGCGTGCTTTCGCGCGGCAAGGAAGTGCTGTATGAGCAGTGGGACCGGGCGGACGAGGGCGAGATCAGGGGTTTTACTGCGGATGACGAAGACGCTGATATCCTCCTCGAGAGGGAGGCTAGCGAAGGGGATGGGTCCGAGGGTGAGGGTCCGCAAGAGCACACGCAGCGCAAGCTAGCGCCACACTACGCGCGCGTGTGGCTCGACGGCAGCGTCGTCGGTGGGTGGGTCGAGGATGGCCGGGTTTTAGGGGGCTGGTGCGGGGGCGAGAGTGCGAGCGTCGCGGAGACGGCAGCGGCGGAGTTTGCGGGCGGCGTGCTTGAGAAGAGGGGCTGGGTTGTGGGGTTTGATGGGAGGGTGGTGTGGGTTGGTGTGGATGGCGAGGGGGTTGGTCCGGATGGAGAGGGTGTTAGTGGAGTTGGAGAGGGAGAGGGCGTTGCTGGGGTTGAGGATGCGGATGGGGATGGGGATGGGGACGTGAAGATGGAGATGGTGGGGGAGTAGGCTGGTTGGTTGGTTGGTTGGTTGGTGCGCTTCGGCTTGGGGCTTCGCGTCGAAGAGAAGAGAAGAGATAAGTAAGCTTGAGTAGTGTAATGAACGAAGCAGTTGGGTTTGTGAGAGAGTTCAATATTGTTTTGTTCGTCGTGACGTCTGGTTAAATCATCATTTAAGCTAGAGCAGACAAGAGACTTCCAGGTCTTGGAATCATTGATTGTTTATTAAGGGAATGAAAGACTGAGCTGCGCCTGAAATGACATGATATTTATGGATATAGATTAGAGTCGTCAGTCGTGAATGGAGAAATGCGACAGGGGCGTGCCGTTCCCGAGCGGCTTTGGAGTGGACGTGGTTTGTGTATGTGGAGGGTATAAAGTATTGGTAAGGAGAAGGTAAGAGAAAGGTGAGGAAGAGGTTATAAAGAAATAGGAGAAAGTATAAAGGGATAGAAGAAGGTAATAGAGAAAGAGAATATAGAATTTAAGGGAATATGAGAGATAATAAAGGGAAACTAGAAGTAGAAAAGAGACGGGAATAGAAACAAACTAATAAAATTAGAGAAAGATAAGGAAAAGTTAAAGGGGGCGATCCCCGAGCGCAGTGATGGTGTATATATATACACGTGTGTGAGTAGAGCTTGCTCGACTACTCCGGGGAAAAAGAGTGCACCTTCACCTCATGGTTTTTTCTTGTGTCTTGTCTATGGAAGTGTCTGTTGCAGCCATCAACTCTGCAGGGGTATATATTTCGCATCCCGCTCTTCTTACAAGAGGATCGGTGGTGTCGTCGTACGTTGCCTTTCAAATCGCGCTCGTTGGACTTGAATAAGTAACCGCAGTACCGGCACGTGTAAGCATGGTTCTGAGACCCCGGGGAGGGTTCAGACTCTGGGGACGCCTGATCGTGCGAACTCCTGAGCCCTGTGTATGTGTAATATGCGCTGGGAGTTGGCAAGGCCGAATCGATGTGGCCGTTCGCACTTTGGGGGTTGTGGTTGTGGAATCTGCCGTGCTACATATCAATAAGTGAAGTGGGACGACTCGAAAGAGGCACTTACGAGTTTAAAGATGATGCCGGTGTATCGATGTTTGCGCTTTCAGAGCCATACGGCGGAAGGGTCGATGAGGCGCTGTTATAGTACCACCTTGTGGAACTGGAGTTGCTGGACGTGCCTGAGTACGGCGGTGGCCGGGTATGGTGGGAAGGAATGGCAGTGTTGATATGTGGTACCGGTGGCTTAGACAATCCGTTTCGAGGGAGGCTCTGCGTTGATTGTGTGTGTGGAAAGTGAATGCCGTTGTGTTGTGAGTATGTAGCCTTGTTGCCCCTGATTGCTATGTCAGCACTTTCACAAGTCTAACGACAACCCGCTCTGGAGGCGAGGGCTCGTCGAATAACTTCAAGCCAAGACGAATATCAACTTACATCTCAAACGTGTGGCTGAGTTGCTGCCTTTCGTATGAACAAAGCTGAGAGCCTTCATCCATCTCATACATGCCGTAGGTCCGCTGCATATCGTAGGAGTGGCCCACACCTACTCCCATTGGGGTTTGGTTTATTATGTGGCGAGAGCGGCCGGTATTTTCATGCTCTGGAGTGAAAGAGCTATCGAGCTCTGCAGTGATGTGAGTGTCGTCGAGCTCTACAGCGATGCGAGTGGTATCGAGCTCTGGAGTGATGTAGTTATTCTCAAGCTCTTCAATGGTGTGAAGGCTCATTTCATAAACCTGGTGTTCCCGTCGTGATTCGTCAACTCTCCTCAGATACAATTCAGCATTTGAAGGCATTGATACGGTTTCCTTGGAAATTTTAGGGTATTGGCGATGGAAACTTTTCTTGAGATTTATAATGTCTGGACGCCTGTGCGGTGTGGTAGGGGTGACCAAAGGGTATTGTTCCGTGGCTGGAGTCCGTGGAGAGGCAGGAGACTTGTGCTGAGGAAGTATCAGAGATAATACAGCTTCCTTGCAGGAACGGAGGAACTGCCGGCAAGGTGAATTGGATGTGTATGAAATATGTCGATCGGTCGAAATTTCTGGCGCACAGTAATCTGGCAACCGTGGAGTTCCGCTATCCTTTTCGTTGCCTTCACTGTCGAATCTTGAGGCTAGAGGAGGGTAACCAGGTGAGCTGTGCAAGACGTCTTGAGGTTCGTTGTCGGTATTGCTTTGTAAACGACTAATACTGAGTCTAGAGTCAGCAATCAGCACAGTTCTAAGCTCTGAGTAGTGACTATACCAACTCGAAGGTAAACCCTATAGCGAACTTCAGTTTTGGTTCCGTGTTTATGCCCAAGCTCATGTTGTGGAGAGAAAGGAGGTAGTGAATAAAATGAGCGCCGACTTGACCGCTCCAGAATAACGAGGGATGAAAGGTAAATGGTAATGATGAGTGATTAAATATCCTAAGGTTTTGTCCGCATCGCGGGGTTGCCGATGAAAGGACTAGAAGGACTGGACGAACGTGATAGACTAGGTAGACTAAAGGGACTGTGGATGAGGATGATAGCAAGGATGATGGGAGCACAAGTCCACATGGGGCTCGGCGGACTGGAAAGACTGCGCAGACAGCCCTGTGCTCTAGACCTTCGGCCACAGTCCTAGGTACTAGACCATCTTTTTGAATGGAAAACGATGTATGCGGCACTGATGTGAACCTTTGAGGAGCTCATGTCCGACAAGGATAACCTCCGAGCTCATAGTGAGGTCCTGAGGTCTCGACTCTCATAACCCCAAAGCCGAGTAGCCATCTAGCACTTGTAAATATTTGTCCCCCATCTTGAATAACGTGGCCGCGGTGGATGAGCCCCGCTCGTTGAGGCTCAGCTATACGGCGGTACGGTTGTTGCCTTGTGAAAGCCTTAGCACTAGCCGGTCGGTGGATCGAACCATAAAGGGCCATCCGCAGGAGTGCATGCACTCCATTGGAATCACGGGTCTACTGTGAAACAGATAGACGGTGTTTCCGGGCATTATCCCGAAGAGGGACTGTTGACGTGGTGGGGTTAGGCGATCCCTAGCGAAGCCAAGTCTAGTTCCATTGGCCGATTTTATCCAGTCCGGTGGTCCTATACGATTTTCGATTAGTGATTATTCGATTCGTGGATGATAGATCAGCAAGTAAAAGGCGGGCGTCAAGGAACCCGCCCAGAAGGCAAGAAAGCGGGATAAAGGGAAACCGCTCTTCTTGTAGGGGAATCCGCTGCGGCTGAGGATGTTAGCCCCGCAACTTCTTTTTAGAAACTTAATCAATTTGACTTATTAATAGTAAATATCCGGCACGTACCCGCTCTCAGGTCTTTACTATGCTGTTTTGGTTTTCAGGCAAAGTCTGCCTTCAGCAACAAGCCACAAAATGTATTGGCTGAACAATTGTTTACGGAAATGATGTGTTGTGGCCGGGGATGATGTATCTTTGCATGAGATCCTGGAGTTCAGAAGCCCAATTGGCTGCGGACAAGCCACACCAAGCAGGTCGATGACTTGAGCGCAGCAGACGCAAGCACTAATGAATAGCCGATGCAATACAAAACTTATAATAAGTATCGCAGCAACTCAAGATGAATCTTGGAATCAATCACAAAAGTATCTAGATCGCGGGCATACAGGATCGGAACGTGGTGTTGTTCGAAGTTACGGCAGAATTTTTGAGATGATTCCGGTTCCGTGTTACACAACATCTCTTAGCATAGCGTGATTTTCAGCTTGCCGCCCCGCACTTGTCTTCACCTCTTTTTAAACGAGTGACGTGCGTGGACTGGACTGTAGACTCGATCCAAACCATTGCCCTCAAAGCCCAAATCAATTGCTTCGTTTGACGGAGCATACACCAGTGACCAACGTATAATCTCCAAATTTGGTCCTGTAAGAGCCGGACTGGTTCAACGACCTTTCCAGTAAATATGAATGCTTGTGAGTGTGCAATACATCAGGCAGATTTGCAAGGGCGATGCGGACCGTGATCTGACTACTCCGAACATCAGTGATTTTTTGCTACGAAACTACGGACAACACCGAAAAAAAATAGAGCATAGGTGAGTAATTGCACCAGTAAGTATTGCGTTATATAGCCTCCTGTAAAAATTGAGCCGCATGTTACATATGAATCTCCGCCCTTGCCGGACCCCTGAGCAAATCAGATCCATGAGTTTCGTCGTAATGAACGGTGGAAGATCGCAGAGCGCCGCTCGGACGGGTCTGTGGACGTGAATAGCAAATGATCAGCTGCATAACAAGGAGCGTCTGTCAACTCTCGGGTAAGAATAAGATCGGAGTTCGCCGCACGTGCTGCTGTACAACTCTAGCAACGACGTGTCGGCAAGCTCCCTTTGCAAGTTATCCCGCTCGTGCATACATGCAGCTCCTTTGGCTTCTGGACTGCATAGAAAGGAAGCACGTTCTTTCGTTTTAACTAGTGGCTGTGGTGACCCCAAAAGTTTTTTTTTCTTTTTTTTTTTT